ATAGGAAAGCATTATGAATGCTTTCCTATGAGACTGGCTGAATGCGCGTGCAGCTCCTGCCGCGCATGCACATTCAGCCGAAGAGGAGGATCGGAGGCAGAGAGGAGGAGGAGGCAGAGAGGGGGCACCCTCAGGGCACTATAGTGCCAGGAAAACGAGTATGTTTTCCTGGCACTATAGTGGTCCTTTAAATGCTGCCGTTTTTTAGAAATTCCCCAGTGGGTCACTGACAATTCCGTGTCAGACCACAAACCCAAACAGTGCTTGGCTAGCACAAGTCCCGATTGCAGCCACACACCTGCAGTACTGTGTCAGTACACTTCCAGATGCTTTTTAGGTGGTGCTGTCAGGCTGCAACTCACCAAATATGAAGGCCTAAAGGGCCAATTGCCCCCTTGCCAACCCTCCTATAGCTGCATCTGTATTTAATGTGGGTGCCAACTAAATGGCTGATGAATGTTGCTAATTATGTGGAGGTAATTAGTGTCTAAATCAGGCTGTTGGTTAGTTGCAGTATGTATGAGGAAAGTTTGGATTAGGTTTGGGTGTGACTGGGTTAAATGCATAATCCAATTATATACATTGATGGCATGCCAGCAACATGGAATTTGACATCTGGAACAGCTGATATAGGAGAGGTATGAGTCTGAAAAAAAAAAAAAAGAGAGAGAGTATGGAATAATCCTCCAAAGCCAAAACAGGATGTGCAGCATGACTTTAGATAATAATTGCTAACTAGTTCAAATGTTCAAAAAAGAATGCTTTCATTTATAATGAGTCTTAGACAAAGAGCTGCATCATATGCACAGAATGCTAAACTGAAGATTACTTGATATATCCTTGGATAAGAAATGCTAAAACTGAGTTTCTTCTGGGGAAAAAATCTGACTTTTCTAAATGTAGACATTTATTAAACCTGTGACATAATCTGGATCCCGCAGAGTTTAATGATTAGCTGGCTTTGTGACCTTGCAATTAAAATGGGATTTGTAACTTATCAATATCATACCTACTAATATCGGCAGTCAACAGTCACATTGGAAAGACCCACTCAGGGTTCTGGAGCACTAATAGTGATGCTCTCACACTGTACTTTTTGGGGCCATTTCTCTGGACAGGAACACAAATTTAAAATTGTCACACCTATACCAACTGTTTTACGTAGACTTTAGCTAAACCATAAGCAATAACAGTTTGACCAATACTGCACTCTAATTGCACCTAATCTTATTATTGAGTTAGGGGCAGTTAAAGTCAAAAGAAAACATTATATTAACAAGGATTTATGCTTGTATGGTGATTATGGTACCATTAGGCTGTGAGTGCTGTCCCCTGGTTCTTGGTCACACAATTTTTGAGAGGTTTGACCAAGACATGGGGCCACCAGGGCATGAGTGGACCAGTCTCTGCTCATCTACAGCTAATGTGGCAGTTCCTCTTCATCCAGTCTCTGTTTTTTGTTTGTTTTTTAAAATCTGTATAGACTCTGAAAAAACCTCTTCAGAGATTTCCAGATTTTTATAGTTCTTACTTTAAAGAACCCTTTCCTTTGCCTTAGACTAAATCTCCTTTCTTCCAGTCTTAGTGGGTGACCTTGTGTTATATGCATTGTGCTGTTTATGAATAGATTTCCAGACAATGGTCTGTATTGGCCCACGATATATTTGTATAATGTTATTATATCCCCTCTGATAAAGCATGTTTTAAACTTAGCAGATTTAAATTTGTTAGACTTTCTTCATAATTAAAAAATTTCCATTCATTTTATTAATTTTGTACCCCCATCTGAACTTTTAATAGTGCCATAATATCTTTCTTTAGAATAATGCCTACTGTTTTATAAAGCGGCAAAATTATATTTTTGCCTGGGAATTAAAGTCCCTTTTTATGCATGACAATATCTTAATGGCCTTAGCCATCGTTAATGACATTGTGTACTGTTGCTTAGTGTTGCTTTCCCAAACTCACTACCATGAAGGGTGTAAATTGCTGGTGCATTCTTCACCCTGAGGTGCATAATTTTTAATTACATTAAATTACATCTTCCATTTCAGAGCCCAGTACCCTAATCTATCTAAATCCCTCTGCAGCGAAGTAATATATATTACCTTACTTAGTTTTGAGTCATCTGGAAACACTGACACATGACCTTCAATGTCTATTTCAAGATCATTTATAAATAGGTTGAATAGAAGTGGCCCCAGAACAAACCCCAGAGTGACACCATTTACTACTTTTTCCAAATTGGAAATGTAACATTAATGATAACTCTCTGTACATTCAATGTTCAATTCAAGTACTAGAATTGTCATCTAAACCAATTTTAATTAAAAAATGAACCTGTTGTGTGGAGCCATATTGGACACCTTGTAGATCACATCCACTGCAACACCCCAATCTATGTGTCTCCTTACTTCTGCAATCCAAGTAAGTTAGTTTAACTTGATCTATATGCTGGTGCCAAATTAGGCATTATCCCATAACATTATTATAGGATATTGCATATGTTGTTGTTTATGCTTAATTTGACTTTATAATTAAGAAATGAACCAGCAAATATTTATAAAGAGTTTGTTTTGGTTATAGTGAAGGTACATTCTGCTGTAATTTCAAAGTCCTGTCTTTGCACCAGGGAGTGTTTATGACTGGACTGCTTGGTGAGAACTTTACGATTGTAACTGCTGTAGGAACTATTGAAAGGTTTGTTATATCTATTTCAGCATCTCATTTGGAAAACTCCCAAGTTAATGAGCAGAAACAATTGCTGGAGGCATCACGCCCAATTGCTGGAGGCATCATGTTAAGACTGAGTTTTACAACCTTACAACCCAGACACGGCTGCTGTAAAATGCATTTATCTCACTCTAATTTGCTACCCTGTCAAATCCCATTTTCTTGAACTGCTGGGGAGCATCACTAAACTAACATGGTTAGTTACTAAAGTGGGAATTAAAAGTGAATTTCAAATTTAGGGCCAGAGTAACATAACTAAAAGCATAGTTGATATGAACAATGTTTCCTGTTCCACTATTCTCACATTGACACATACATACATACATATACTTACACAGAGATATAAACACACACAGAAACACACATAAACACACACTGATATATATATATATATATATATAGACACTCTTGCAGAGAGATATACACATGACCCTGACACACAAATACACACACTGACACATACATACAAACAAACTGAGATACATACACTGACACACACACTCCTTGACACATAGATACACTAACTGACACATACACATACCATGACACACAGATACACTCACTGACAAATACACACACCATGGCACACAGATACACTCACTGACACATACACACACTCTGACACACAGACACACACACTGACACATACATGCACACACTCAGATACACACACTGACACATACACACACCCTGACACAGACATATACACTGACACATATACACACAAATACAAACTGACACATACACACATCTTGACACACAAAAACACTGATGCACACATACTTACACATACACACACACTGAAACACAGATACACAAACAAACTGACACATGCATAGATAGATATACACATAGATATCATACTTTTTATTTTTGTAGCTACCCTTCTGGTAATATACCTTTTGTGTGCAGGAGGGTGGCCTCAATGGGATCCTGGCTGAGGCTGATTGGATTGTAGGGCTGCAGTTGGCTCTCCCCTTGTTCCTCCCCACACATGTGCTGCCTCCTCATCCTCCCGCATGGCTTCTCTGAATGTGGGAGGAAGTGACCAGTCTTCACTTCCTCCCAGCATCACTGATACTACTGGGTCCCAGTCGCTCTGTTAAAGAGACCCTGCACCCTAACAGCACTCCTGTAATATCACTTGTCTTCACTGTAGGGGAAGGGATGTCATGGAGACATAACTGAGGGTTGGTAGAGTAAGGAGAACTGTGCCGCCATTAAACATCTTTCGCCAGCATGCTAATGGCAGACAATTTATACACAGTTTTAACAATGATGCTGTGTTGGGTGGACTTACACTTTCAGCAACAAAACTAAATATATTTGTATGTACAGTGATTCTTACAATTGATTGCTATTTCCTGCTCATTGCGTTCTCTTTTCTCACATGTTTATTTCAAATGCAATCTCTACTTTCTGTTTATCTAAATCAATTATCTCGAATCTCACACTTATAAAATACTTTTAAAAACAAAAGAAAAATAAAGTAGATATTCACAATAATTGTATATATTTAAAATAGTCATATGTCAAAGTAGATATGTATTGATATGTTGTACTGTGAAGTGTAAAATATGTGTTAACATTTAATTTGTTTTTGTATTTTGATATTCACCATTCATTTGTTTTAATAAACGACAGTAATGTGAGACATTTATGTTAATATTATAACATTCAATCCAAGGGGTGGTATATTCCACTGCTAGGAATGTTGGGCGACGGAGAACTTTATGCAGTAATCATATTATTTTTGTTGTATACTTGTTTTTTTACTGAGAAATGGCTTGTCATGGAAAGCAAGGTAAACCAGACCATAACATCAATAATACAACATTCAAATGCATATGTAAACAGTATATAGAGAACAAGATTGACTGTCGTGACAAAGTAACAGAGTATTGGAAAGAAGCATTAACACAAATAAACTATAATGTCCATGACAACACATATCTCCAACACAGTTCATGAATTTCTCATGGTCTTGAGTTGTATTTGGAAAGTAGGGTGTGGAAAACAAATGGTAAGAGAAAGGGGGAGAGGGCCACACAAGTTGTTGCAAAGCATATGGCCGCAAGGAACTCATTTCTACAGTAGCCCTGGAAAGGTTTGTTGTGAAGTAGGGATAATTGGTGAGTAAAGAAGAAAGCCAAGTAGTAATTTTTGAGATTTTAAAGTTCAATTCTGCCTAATTGAAGTGAATGCCAATAGATTTTTCCCGAAATTTGAGTGGCGTTTGCACCAAATATAAGAAAATACACATCTCTGAAAAATACTTTATGAAGGTGGATGATATAGTACCTGGCAGCGAGCAGAACAAGTGCAAATATGTGGGTTATAGTGACATTTTTATTGTATTTTTTCATTCCATCCAGGACAGCTCCTGTGTGTTCCAAGAGTCCAAATTGGCTTTGGTCTTGTCCTAGAGTTGTGTATGTTTAAACTTGAGTAAAGCATGTCTGGTATTGGTAGTTCAAAGAGTTGCCCCTTTGATGAAACTTAGAATTGGCTTGAAGTTGTTGTATTTGAATCGCGGAAATATGAAGAGACAGTGTCTGAGTTTTCCCCATGCTGTTTCTATAAAAACAGGAGAGACGGTAAAGATATATTTTTTTGTTTTCTGAGGCACATGCGTTCATCATCCATAAACAGGGCGATTTTATGCTCAGTTTTATTCATTTGGACACCAGAAATGTCAAGATTCACTTAACTTTATGGATCGGTTGTTATAGGCCTAAAATAAAATTAGCAGTGGTAATGGGCAACGTTGCCTTGTACCATTGAAGATATTAAAAGAGTAGAACTGAAATCAAGTTTATATGATCCTGTCAGAGGGTCAAGCATATGGTTCTGAAATGACAGTAAGAAAATAAATGGGAAAGCTAAATTTGTGTAATAAAGCTTCCATACATTGCCAATCTAAGTGATCAAATGCATTTTCTTTATCTAAAGCCAGTAAGAGGCAGTCAGTATGGCATGATTGGGCTACTTCAGTAATATTCAATATTTGTCTTGCATTATTTCAGGCTTGTCTAGATGGAACAAAGCCAGCTTCATCTAGTGAGATTATCTCTGGCTATATTTTGTTGTCTATTAGGCAATAATTTGGCATACAATTTAGTGTCTGAATTTAGAATATTGGGATATAGGTCTCGCTTTACCATACTTGGCAGAGGTTTACAGGCCTAGTGAACCACCCTGTCCTCTATTATTTAATGGTAAGTGATTATAATCATGTTAAGACAACCTTATAGCTGAAACAAATCTTACAGAAAGTATACACCACATACAGCACAGTGTCTATGAGCAAATATAAACTGCTTTGAAAATTAAGCAAGCCCAACTGACCAACACATAGTGTTTATTAAAGATCTGGATGTACAAATTTCCATAAGAAATGACTGATTACCGAATCACTCCTAAACGCAGGTTGCGCTGGTCGAATTTACCATTTAGCCGTGCAGCCTGTTTTCCCATTGAAATAATGTCAAGATATTCATTGTTTGGCCAAATTGCCTGCTTTCCCATAGAAATGTGGACATTGCCCACTCGAATGGGGCGTCCACATATGAAGAGCATTTGCGAAACATCACATCTCATTTGGAAAGCGTCAACATCATCTAGGTGACCTTGTTCTCGTACTTTTTGTCACTGGGTTGAGGTGGATCAATAAGAATTTAAGTAAACCTATATATGTCTTGTTTAGGCCCTTATTAATTGCTCTATCTTGGTTTCTATTTTTGTGCCATCTCATACCCATTCATTCTCCAGTCTACTAAAGAGAATTTCAGGATTCAGGGGGGGGTCACCTGTTGTTCCGCACATGTTTGTATCTTATCACATGTGGATGTGGAGCACAATATGTGGGAAGGACAGGGAGGAAAGCAAAAGCCCGCTTCTTGGAACACATGAATAATATCAGAAAAAAGATAACATCACACTCCATCCCTGTACATTGTAACTCATACCCTTCTTTCAAACTGGAAAATCTTGCTTGGACCATTATAGAGCAAGTCATCCTAGATGAGAGAGGGGGTGACATTATGTTGAAATTAAGACAGAGGGAGGGCTTCTGGATACACTGATTAAAAACACTACAGCCATTAGGGCTGAATTTGGATTTTGATTTAATTTGTTTTCTATAATGTTTTTTCAAATAAAGTTTTTTTCAAATATTTTCTTTTTTTATTATTCATTTGTTTATTACTTTTCCCCTTCCTCCCAGTTTATTCTAATATATATGCAATTTAATATAACCTTTTTTATATATTTGTTCTGTTCTATTTTTCTTATTTCTCTCCCAAGTCTTTTATATTAAATTTTATTTTGGTTTTATTAACTTAATCTGTGTTTCCAAGCCCCTCCCAAATAGATAACCATAAGTGGTGTTTTGTGCACTCTTTTTTTCTTATATGCGAGCACTATGTGTCTATACTTGTTTGTGACAATAGGTTTGTACCTGTTTGGTAATATTGTATCTGAATGAAGTTCAATGAGTGGGACTATATGTTTATACATTTGTATGACATTGAATTTTAATTAAGTTGAATAAGTGGGACTTTGGATGTTTTATATACATATTTATATACATTTTCATTCAAACCGTCATTACAAAATCTGTCCTGCTTACTCTCCACGTCTCTATTTTCTTTGTATGATATTTACAACCACATTGAGGACTTTATGTAAAGTGGACATTATCATTGTGAAAAGATTTACGGACTGTTTGGAATGCATCTGCGTTTCAGACACACAACCTATACGTCATCATCAACTGCGGATCAGCAACATCCACTTCCGGGTAGGTGGAACGCATATGCGTTCCAAAGGACGATGACCGGAACTCCTTATAAGGAAAAGGCCATTAGACAGATATTGAACAGATGAAGGCAAGAAGACGATTTGGCTGAGAGGGATCAGTCACATTGGGAGGGACTTTTAAAAGGAAGCTCCGATTCCCATTTGGATTATTGCACTTTAATATATGCACTAAAACAGCACTTTTATTACTCTTGAGGAAGTCTATAGATAATAGGCCAAATGCGTAGAGGCATTATTGTTTTTTAATTTTATTTTGTATGCTGTTATATTTCCTGCCCAAAGTTCCTGTGAGGACTCCAGCACTCCATACCACCTAGAGGACTACAGGATTATACTGAAGGGCTTTTTATCCATGTGTTCTGTGTAAGAGTGACCATGAAAGCATGTATATAACTTTTTATCAGTGTTGCACTATGGTGTTTTCAAATTTTTTTTACATGAACCATTCAACATATGAATATTGCTGAATCTGTGGGAGTCTGTATATTGTTAATGAGCCTGAACTATCTACAACTAACTATCTAACGCTATTACCCTATTCTTCTCCGTTTTATATATCTAGGTATATATCCTATTATTTGCCATTTATATTCTGAAAGAAATTATCATATTCAAATAATGTAGGGATGACTCATTAAATTCCATACTTGGTCCAGATATATAAAGTAATTATTACTATTACTATTACTATTATTATTATATTTTAAAAATATTGAGGTATTGGCAAATACATATATTTTAGTTATTAGGTAATATTGGACCTTGCTACAGAGTTAACCCTTTTTCCCCCGGTAGTTATTTCTGAAAGACTCATTTTGCAATATATTAGTTTAATAGAATTGGCAGATGTCTGTAGACTAATGCAGTTCAACTGAATTATATAAATTCATTGAGAACATTAAGAACAGTGTTTGAATGTTAGTGAATAAACCCCACAATGTGCACTTTGGATGTTAATCCATCTGTGAGCATGGTTTACAGGCATTCCATTAAACAAAGTAGTCATCCATTTCCTCCTATTGAACAGGAAACCACATTGAGTAAAAGAAGCCAGTATCTGGTACTCCTTAAATCCAGCTTCTCTATTACTATATAAGGAAACAAAAAACTATAGGTTGCATCCTGGTGCTCTTGCATGTGTGTTTATGTCAAAAGGTTGAAAAAAATAGCTTTAGTGTTTTTAGTAGGGATGTTTTGATGTGTATACGGTAGCTGTGTGTGTCAGTGAGTGTCAGCCAAAAAAAAAAAAAGAGAGAAGAAAATCACAGCAGTCACCATTTCATAGTGTTGACATAAAAGTGATTCTGCATCAATAGACTGACACACACTGACAGCCTGGGACCAAGCAAAGCTGAACATGCACTGTGACTATACACTGTGCCAGTCAACTATTTAATTAATGAAACAGATACGGGAACTATTTGCTGGTGAAATCTCCTAGATATGTTTCTATATTCTCCTGCTAAATAGTATCACAGATATTTAAAGGACTACTTTGGTCACCCAGACCACTTCAGCTCAATCGGGTTTTACCCTGCAGCTGTAAACTTAGTCGTTTCAAAGAAACTGCTATGTTTACATTGCATGGTTAATCCAGCCTCTAGTGGCTGTCTTCCTGACAGCAGCTAGAGGCGCTTCCCCGACGCACAATGCGAAAATCGCATTGAGCTTGCAGAACTTCCATAGGAAAGCATTTAGAAATGCTTTCCTCTGGGCGTTTTTAATGCGCGTGTGGCTCTGGCCCCGCATGCGCATCTGGCTCCACTCTGGAGCTGATGTCGGAGGGGGAGGAGAGGTCACCAGTGCCGAGGGAGCCCGGCGCTGGATAAAGGTAAGTTGCTGAAGGGTTTTTAACCCTTTCAACACAGCTGGAGGGGAACCCTGAAGGAGAGGGGAACCTAAGGATTAAATAGTGTCAGGAAAAAGAGTTTGTTTTCCTGACTCTATAGTGATCCTTAAACATATTAAAATATACTAAACAACCTCTATGTATTTCTCTCTTGCCGTAAAATGAATTATGTGCACACGACTAGTCCGGTGCACGCATAATAACAAAGTGTGTTCTCATATGGCTGATTTGATCTTATTTTTTATTTAGAATCGCAGTAATTAACTTTGTGTGAGAATTTTGTCAGGGGGCCAGCTCTGTAGTGACTTTCGCTTACCTAATCAGGCATGTGTGCATTTACTAAGAGATTGTTGCTCTAAGTTTTAATTCAACTTCAAAGCATGAGTGAACAATGTATATTTAACATAAAAAGATGATACTCTTTTTTTTTTTTTGTACCGCAATCTTATTTTTCACTTACTATCACATCAAATGATTGAAATGCAATGGTCACATGTATTATAAGTACTGATATACAAATTATATTATTTAGTTGGTGTCACAAGCATTGTTCATGCACGCAGTATGTTTGCAATCAGCCCAGGACAAATAATGATTTAGAAACGTGCGTTATCAGCATGTCTATACCCTAAATCAAATTGATTATATATTTATATAAGCTGCAAGTCTGAAAGCTCATTAATCATCAACTCATTTATCATGTTCATTCTTTATTTAGCAGAATCTGTCTTCACTGAATCAGTGATCAAAAAAACAGAACATTTATTAAAGTGACACTGTCACTTTTGAATCTTAATCAAATGTTTATA